TTTTTCTTCAAGATGGACAAATCAACCCCAATTAAAACCAATAATTTGATATACATCATGATATTTTTCTAGGGGGGGGTAAAAAAATTTCTAGGGGGGGGTAAAAAAAATTCCGGCGCGCTTCGCGCGCCAAATTAAAATTTTTTACCCCCCCCTACAGAATCCTTATATCCGCCCCTGTTTTGTTATTTCTGAAAGATATACAGTGAAGAGGATCAACTGTACTTCTTTTATAAACAGTATGCCAAACCAAAACATAATCAATTTCTTAACTCTTGCAGACGAAAAATTTACTAATTACAGCTTTCTGGGTGGGTATCACATGTCACCATATACTAAATCAGAAAATCATTAACAAAGACGATATCAATATTCCATGTTTATTGGGACAACCTGTATTATACAGGGTTCAATGTAAAACTACCGAGGACAAAAAATGTTATCTAGAAGAATATTAATAAAAGTAAAACAGTCTATTGGAATTTGACAAAGTTTATAAAATTTATATACAGGGGGCTAAACTAAATATAGCATATTCTCTATTATACTGAATAAATGAAGAGTATAGTATATAGGGGGCTAAACTAAATATAGCATATTCTCTATTATAATGAATATATGAAGAGTATAGTATAGGGGGCTAAACTAAATATAGCATATTTTCTATTATACTGAATATATGAAGAGTATAGTATATAGGGGGCTAAACTAAATACAGCATATTCTCTATTATATCATATCTGTTCGGTTCCATAGTAGTAAACATATCGTGTAAGAATTCCCATTATTACACGGTTCAGGAGGAACAATTTTAATATTGTTCGCTTCCTTGCGTTTAAGAATGCTTATTATTACACTGCGGGTGCAGAATTTTCATTCTTTAACGCTCAGACCGTGTAAGAATGGAAATTATTACATATTCCTCATAAGATTATCATATTATACTGAGTATGACTTCAAACTAAACAGGACAAAGATATATTATCTAGGAGAATATTAGTAAATCTGGATTTGGGTTTTCAAAACTTAAACAGAATTTGTATATTATACCTTGAACCATGTGAGCGCAGGAATATTCTTAGAATTGTTTTGGTTTCTCTCCATCACAAAGATTCCTTTCTTTACTCCGTCCTTGAAGTTTGGTGAGTCAGTGCTAACGAATGGGTTGAGAGTTAGGACTAGAGTTAGTCCTGATTTACTCACTAGATCATCCACTCCTCTAAACAAACCATATAAATCTTCAAACAAATTGTTCAGTTCGCTTTAAGGTTGAAGAAACTGTTACCGCAATGTCGAGTGACCCTAAGAATGGAGATATCCATGTTTTTAGCGGTTTCTTCAAAAATTGACTTGAAGATCACTGAAAAAATTGGCACAAATATATCCTTTCAAGCAAGGAAAACGATTATATCATCCTCATTGTGACTTAAATCAGAGGTTTCCAGATCGGATACCAGTTTGAATCAAGCTACTTTTTAAAATTGATTGAATGCAAGTCGTGGAGTAAGTTAAATAACTTTAGAATTAGAAACAGTAAGTGTTTTAGAGGTAAACAACAACCACGGTAACACATTATGTGCAGCAAGGTTATAATTAAATGAAGGTTATTTCAGAGGTGCACGCATCTTTTGTACTGCAGTGTACTGTCTCTGGCGGTAATGTAAACACAAGACGGGTGTCACAGCCTGAGATGGGATCCATCTTTCACATAAAAAATCAATCAAATATTCTGGTCATAGGAAACTATTCTGTGAATTATCAAAATTTAAGGCTTTTAACCTCCTCGGATACTAAACACTGATGCATCTATTCTTGTTTACAAATTCCGCCCAGAGAGAACTGGTTTCAATATGTACGCAGAGTATATGCAACTACAATTAACTTTCCTTGCATTAGTACCTTGATGTGCAGGCTCTCGCTCAAAACTCAGTTACTCTTAAAATTAATGCACATGACTGGATCTTTCTACATTACTTCTCAAAAGGAAAAATACGTCTGGAAAAGTATGATATTTGAGAGTGTGTTGAAACTATATGATTTCCTGAGTTTGTCTGAGAGCTTTATATCTCCCATAGTATCCTGCCATTTATAGTTGAGAAGGAGGAAACCTCTAGAGATGTCCCCGCCCCCGGGACCAGCAGTTCCCCGCCCTAATATAGTCTTCAGATAGGCGGAGATCTCCTCTAGAGTGAAGGTCCCCTCAGCAGTATCTAATGAAAAAAATTTTAAAAATTTAAATCTCAAAATATTATGGAATGATAGTTTTTATCCAAAAAAGTTCAATAACTATTCAATTTTGAAAATTCACTAAAATGAAGGCACGAAAAGTCATCAAAGTTCCAAATTATTGGCTCAGGCTGCACAAAAGTATTTTTTTAAATATTAAAAATTAAAACTTGGTTGAGTAAAGGTCAAAAAATAAGCTTTTTGAGGGCAAATTTCCACTGAAAAGTCCAATTTTTACTAAAATTGCTTCATATTTTGATAACTTTTTATACCCATTTTGACATATTTTTAAAAATAAATATTTTCGCTTGTGATTAGTAAAATTTATATTTACAAAAATATGATGCGCTGAATAAATTTGAAATAAGAAAAGAAAATTTGAGTTTTTTATTGTAGAAACTTTAAAAACTCGTACTGAAAGTACTTATTTCTTTTTAATAAAAGACGAATGTTCTACCTGGAACCTCCCACAACGGTAGTTGAAGAAGTCTGCTCAGTTCCTGAATAATAATCATTTAGTTTCCTTGTCTGATCCTGACATTTCCAAGCCTGACTCTGACCAACCATGCCTCACCCTGACCTGAACCTGGTCCTGAACCTGAACCTGGTCCTGAACCTGAACCTGGTCCTGAACCTGAACCTGGAACCTCAACCTGGTCCTGAACCTCAACCTCAACCTGGTCCTGAACCTGAACCTCAACCTGGTCCTGAACCTGAACCTCAACCTGGTCCTGAACCTGAACCTCAATTTGGTCCTCAACCTGAACCTGAACCTGAACCTGAATCTGAACCTCACCCTGATCATAACCCTATACCGAACCTGGTCCTAATTCTGAACCTGGTTCTGATCATCACCCTCTCCTACCTCTAGATCTGTATCCTTGTGTCCGTCCCAGAAAGATCTTGAAAGTTGCCCATCATAGATCTCTCCTAGGTTTCCATCAGAGCAGACTGTGTAGTTCAAAAAGGGTAGATCTAATCTAAACATTAATTATTATAAAGGGACTGTAAGCGTAATTTTAAGTGACCCTTCATGCAAAGAGGGCAATACCCAACTTTCAAGGATATTCTTGAAACCTTCTGATCAATAATATGGAAAAATAAGTTGTTTTCTATAGCAAAAAGGTGTTACGTTTTGATGATTCCTATATATTTCCATGCAGTGGAAATACGTAAGTACGTCACAACTGAAAGTAATTAGTTTTTAAAATTATAAACATTGATATCTAATTCATCCTTGATCAGACAAAGCTTTTAAAGGGTCCGTTGTGAATCGGGCATTACCATCTGTACATGGAGGGTCACTTAAAATTACACTTAATCATAAATTAAAGGGACTGTGCGCGTAATTTCAAGGGACCCTCCATGCAAACATGACTCGAAAATTGTTTTTTTTCTGTCAGCTTCCTCATTGCTACTTATAAACAAAAAATGCAAAAGTCACTTTCGCAGAGAAACCGCAAATGAAAATAAACAGTTTAATTTGAAACATAAAAAGCACAATCTAATTTTTAAAGGTACCGTTGTAAATCGGGCATTGCCATATTTGCATGGAGGGTCACTTGAAGTTATGCTTACAGTCCCTTTAATCAGTATATATTCAGCATGAATTCGTCTTGCGCACAATGTAGTTTGTACATTCTACATTAATGATTGAATATATAAGCTTTTAATAAGAAATGTTTTTTTTAAGATTTCTTCAAAATAATCATCCTTAGTATCAATGCATTCATCTTTTGCAAATGTATTTTAAACAATTTATTTTTTTTTAAATTTATTCTTATAAACAATTTAGTTTTGAATTAGTTATCTTTTGTTCTGAATATAATGTTTCGTCAAATTGTTTAAAAATAAGGAATCCTATAAGGGAATGTTCACTTGTTAGAAAATACACATAATACCAAAAATAATTTGTCTAAGGTTTATGGTAGTAATCTATAAACTTAATCAACTCTTAGCTTGTGCATTGTTCCACATTAATATCTTTTTGCAGCCAAGTTAATGTCGTAAACTTCAAATAAAACTATAAAACTGTTCGATCAAATTATCTAAGTTTGAAATATCAAAGCTGTACACCATCAGGTTGCAAAGATATCGGGATTAGAAAATTTGAGATGGTGGGAAAAACTCAGTTCCTTTTTGGTCGCAACTGACATGACCTTGGAAAAGGTTAATGTGCGACTGGAAAAATGTCGTCTTTTCTGAGTACGATGAAAACAATGGCGTGTTGACGGAGGGGAGGAAGGCCAGCCACCGCAATTTCTAGTCCGAGCCACATTCTCCTCATTTTCTCGTCCGAGCCACCTCGAAATCCTCGTCCTTCGAATATTATCTTTTTAAAGTGTTCAATTCTCCAAGATAAAACAATTTTTTAAGAATCCGGTCACGTTAGAGCATTAACGAAATATTAAATTTGTGTAAATAGAAAGAAATACTTTCAATAGAATTTAAATTTTTGAGTAAAATGTCCTGAAAATATTCACCTTTCTTACGCGCATTTTCAGAGAATCTAGGTATAGGATGCCGCAAATAATTCCAAGTTTATAAAAATCTGATCTTTTTTTGTTAATTTTAGCGGAAACCATAGAATCTTTTCGGGTGGTTCCATGGGGAAAATTATAGGCAGAGGTATGCCAAATATTTTGCTATTTAATTTGTATCACGAAGGTTAGCCATTACGGAGGCAGAAGAGATTTAAGTTTCACCTAAATAAAGTTTGACATCATTCTCATGACTTTGAAGATTTCAACATGATGTAATCATTTTATGCCCTAACGTGGCCTGATTTTAAAAATATTTAGAAACTTAAAAAATAATAAGCAAAGGACGAAAATTTCGAGGTGACTCGGACGAGAAAATGAGGAGAATGTGGCTCGGACGAGAAATTGATGTGGCTGGCCTTCCTCCCCTCGTTGACGAGCAGAAGTTAGAAACTAAAATTAGTTTTAGAAAATTGTGTCTCTAAAAGCCTAGTTTCCTGCAGATCGAGGATCATGTGTATTTTTAATAAATAAACAACCCCTTTTAACACTATAACAACCCCTTTTAGCACTATAACAACCCCTTTTAACACTATAAAAAAAACCTTTTCACACTATAACAACCCCTTTTCACACTATAACAATCTCTTTTAACACTATAACAACCCTTTTTAACACTATAACAATCCCTTTTAACACTATAACAACCACTTTTAACACTATAACAACCCCGTTAAATACTGTAACAACCCACCTGTGATAAAAGTAAGGAAAGTCGTCAAAATGTGCTTTTAGGCAGAGTCCTGAATGCCCCTGATCATTGAGAGATACGGAGAGAGGAGTTGTATCTTCAACCATTAAACTTAAACCTCGACTATTGATAAAATACTTCTTGATCACATTCCCCCATTCGGTCTGATCCTCGTCCCCTGTCACGAAGGGGGACATGTTAATATGCCCCTGATCCAGGGGCCATCTGCTGGATAAACTCTCCCCGCCCCCATACCAGTGTCCCGCCCCCTCACCCACCGGCCAGCAGTCCTGGGGTGATATGTGTTCAGAAAGCGCTTGCCAGGTTAGCCTATGACAGGATAACCCTTTCACATCCAATCTAACAATATATTTATTTTAAAATTAATCCAAATATTTTAAATTTTCTCCAAGCTGAGCTGAAGCTATCCAAGAAAGAGAGAGAGAGTGGCAAATAAGGTTAAACTCTGCAATGATTAAATTATTTTGATGAGGCAGTGATAAGTCAAAAAAAATCTTTAAACTTTAATTAGATTAAGAAAAAAACGATGAAAAGTTTTTAATAAATATAAAATATGCCTGGCTATATGTAATCTGGCATGGTCTTTCCACTCTATACAGCGTACATTATCCTAGAAATATAAAGAGGTTTTAAAAACATAGAGCTAGACCACATTTAATACAATTCTATACATTTAATGAAATGTGTTTCCCTTTGTATGGGAGAAATAAATATATATTCTCTTAGACTAAATAAATATTTTTCTTAATTAAATGTATTTTTTCCTAGATTAAATGATTTTTTTCTAAATTAGATGTATTTTTTTCTAGATTAAATGAATTTTTTCAGAGACTAGTTGTATTTTTCCAAGGTATAGGTTTTATTTGTTAAAACCTTTAAAAATCAAAAGTATATTCAGATGAGATTAATAGATGTGAAAGGTAGAGAGATGGATAGATAAATTGAAAAGACTGATAGATAGATAAATATATAGATAAATCTGTAGACATTTTAGGTAAGGAGAGAGATAGATAGATTGAAAAGACAGATAGATAGAAAGATAGATAGATAGATCGGTAGACATGTTAGATAGATAGATCGGTAGACATGTTAGGTAAATATATAGATAGATAGATACCTGATCACTAAGTGTAGGTATACAAGAGTACGGATGAAGATCTTGTGGAAGATCTACCCCAAGATCAGCTGTTAACACTAGCCGGTCATCCCGGTCAAATAAAAGCATCTTCCGTTCAGCTTCCTCTAGACGTACTGTAGGGAACAGTCGGAGCTAAATAAAGTTTTTCACTTTTCAAGAAAAATAAACATTTAAGTTCTCAAGTTTTGACTTTTCAGGTTGTACCTAGTCGTATTTTTGCACAGTTACTATAAGCGTAATTTCTAATGATCATCCATGCAAAGACGACAATGCCGGATTTACAACGGTACCAATTTTAAGTATTATCTGGTGAAGTGTGGATTAGATATCCATGTTTTTTTAACTGTTTATTATAATTTGGGGTTTCACAATTCTTGCGTATAAAAAACAATGAAAAAATTCACTCTCCGAGTCAGGCAAACGAGGGTATCCTTCATACTTGTTATCAAAGGTACAATTGTAAAACAGGCATTGCTGTCTTCGCATAGATGACCGCTAGAAATTACGTTTACTGTTCCTTTAAGCTGCTTAATCGAAAGAAACACCTCCGACAAGATGAACTTTTAAAAAAAGTCGATCCATGTGCATAGTTACAAAATAAAAGTAAACGTATAATGTCATAAGTTTATCATAAGAACCGATTTAAATAGCTTAATCCAATCATAGCTATAAAATGTAGGTTAACCCCAGCCAATTAAATTCTGAACAAATTGCTTTTGGTAATCCCACTCTCTCAATTCTTGGGAAAATGATTTGCAGGTATATCATCAATCACCATGTTTCAAGTAGAGTTCCTAATAACGGTGTTCGGTATTTCCGAAAGGAATATTCCCAAGGACTACTTCCCAAATGTGAAATTTCCCAAGCGGCAACTTCCAAAAGGTTAGGGGGCCAAGTGCTGCAGCTAGGATGGGCTAGGGGACCGAGCACTGCGGCTAGAACAGGCTAGGGGGCCGAGCACTGCGGCTGGAACAGGCTAGGGGGCCGAGTGCTGCGGCTAGTACAGACATGGGAAGTTTCCGCTTTGGAGATTGCACAGTTGGGAAGCTTCCACTTGGGAAAATACCCTTTAGAAGTTGCCGCTTGGGGGAAAAACCTTTTGGAAAGTACTTAACATCTACCCATATTTAGGTACGTCACTACGTATATCTACGAAAACAATGAAGTTAAAAATAAATATAAGGATAGAATTTTTCTAAGAGATAAATGGAACTAATGGAACTAGAAAAAAAGCAATAATTTTTCTTTTAAAACATTACAGCCACTCCCCTCCCCCCTGCTTAAAGGGAGTGTTCGCGAAAAATGAAAGGGGGTATAGGCTTACGGCGATAAATAATCGCTTTTAATCGCTACTAATCTTTATTCTATCTGTTTATCTGTTGCGTCTATAATGAGAAAATTGTTAAAAACGTCTCATACCGAAGAACGTAGATTCCTTACAAATTCAGAAAGTTGCAGCATACGACTCGCATCGTAACAAAATCAATTTACTTCCAAACAAAGCATTCAGATATTGCAACTTATAGTCATCGATTATTTTTTCGTATTCGTATATAGTTGATATTTCATAATATGTTTTACTTTCTTTGATCCGAGAGTGACTTTTGAAAACATTCATTTTCCATATTTTCCAGGAATGCGCCAGTCTTGAAAACAAGTTGTAAGCGAAATATTAATTTAAAAAAACACAAAATAAAAAATATTATGAAATATCAACTATATACAAATGCGTCGAAAAATAATCGATGACTATAGAATTTAATATCTAAATTATTTGTTTGATATTAATTTGATTTTTTTACAATTCAAGTTGTATGTTCCAACTTCCTCAATTTGTATGAACGCTTCGTTCTTCGTTATGAGACATTTTTACCAATTTTCTCCTTATAGAGCACCAGATAGAAGTAAGATTATTAGCGATTAAAAGCGACTATTTATCACCGTAAGCCTATACCCCCTTTCATTTTTCGCGAACTACTCCTGCTTGAATGCCACTTCTCTTACCTCTCCTATATGTTGATGGTAAAGTATATGTGAAGTAAGTACTATATATACACCCCCCCATCCCTTACCTCTCCCATATGTTGATGGTAAAGTATATGTGAAGTAAGTACTATAGATACACCCCCCCATCCCTTACCTCTCCTATATGTTGATGGTAAAGTATATGTGAAGTAAGTACTATAGAAACGCAACCAAGGAAAAGAAAAAGAACAACAAATCTTAATCTTGTTTCTTCAGGTTTCTTCTTCAAATCTCCAGGCATAGATAACTAAATTATTTTAAGTATTAGGAGAATTAAATTCCGCTACAAAGATTATTTAATTCTGAATGATGGGGAGGCAGCCCGCAGCCCCCCCCCCCCCCC